CGTGTGTGTGTTGGCTAAACGTAACCACGTGTGTGTGTTGGCTAAACGTAACCACGTGTGTGTGTTGGCTAAACGTAACCACGTGTGTGTGTTGGCTAAACGTAACCACGTGTGTGTGTTGGCTAAACGTAACCACGTGTGTGTGTTGGCTAAACGTAACCACGTGTGTGTGTTGGCTAAACGTAACCACGTGTGTGTGTTGGCTAAACGTAACCACGTGTGTGTGTTGGCTAAACGTAACCACGTGTGTGTGTTGGCTAAACGTAACCACGTGTGTGTGTTGGCTAAACGTAACCACGTGTGTGTGTTGGCTAAACGTAACCACGTGTGTGTGTTGGCTAAACGTAACCACGTGTGTGTGTTGGCTAAACGTAACCACGTGTGTGTGTTGGCTAAACGTAACCACGTGTGTGTGTTGGCTAAACGTAACCACGTGTGTGTGTTGGCTAAACGTAACCACGTGTGTGTGTTGGCTAAACGTAACCACGTGTGTGTGTTGGCTAAACGTAACCACGTGTGTGTGTTGGCTAAACGTAACCACGTGTGTGTGTTGGCTAAACGTAACCACGTGTGTGTGTTGGCTAAACGTAACCACGTGTGTGTGTTGGCTAAACGTAACCACGTGTGTGTGTTGGCTAAACGTAACCACGTGTGTGTGTTGGCTAAACGTAACCACGTGTGTGTGTTGGCTAAACGTAACCACGTGTGTGTGTTGGCTAAACGTAACCACGTGTGTGTGTTGGCTAAACGTAACCACGTGTGTGTGTTGGCTAAACGTAACCACGTGTGTGTGTTGGCTAAACGTAACCACGTGTGTGTGTTGGCTAAACGTAACCACGTGTGTGTGTTGGCTAAACGTAACCACGTGTGTGTGTTGGCTAAACGTAACCACGTGTGTGTGTTGGCTAAACGTAACCACGTGTGTGTGTTGGCTAAACGTAACCACGTGTGTGTGTTGGCTAAACGTAACCACGTGTGTGTGTTGGCTAAACGTAACCACGTGTGTGTGTTGGCTAAACGTAACCACGTGTGTGTGTTGGCTAAACGTAACCACGTGTGTGTGTTGGCTAAACGTAACCACGTGTGTGTGTTGGCTAAACGTAACCACGTGTGTGTGTTGGCTAAACGTAACCACGTGTGTGTGTTGGCTAAACGTAACCACGTGTGTGTGTTGGCTAAACGTAACCACGTGTGTGTGTTGGCTAAACGTAACCACGTGTGTGTGTTGGCTAAACGTAACCACGTGTGTGTGTTGGCTAAACGTAACCACGTGTGTGTGTTGGCTAAACGTAACCACGTGTGTGTGTTGGCTAAACGTAACCACGTGTGTGTGTTGGCTAAACGTAACCACGTGTGTGTGTTGGCTAAACGTAACCACGTGTGTGTGTTGGCTAAACGTAACCACGTGTGTGTGTTGGCTAAACGTAACCACGTGTGTGTGTTGGCTAAACGTAACCACGTGTGTGTGTTGGCTAAACGTAACCACGTGTGTGTGTTGGCTAAACGTAACCACGTGTGTGTGTTGGCTAAACGTAACCACGTGTGTGTGTTGGCTAAACGTAACCACGTGTGTGTGTTGGCTAAACGTAACCACGTGTGTGTGTTGGCTAAACGTAACCACGTGTGTGTGTTGGCTAAACGTAACCACGTGTGTGTGTTGGCTAAACGTAACCACGTGTGTGTGTTGGCTAAACGTAACCACGTGTGTGTGTTGGCTAAACGTAACCACGTGTGTGTGTTGGCTAAACGTAACCACGTGTGTGTGTTGGCTAAACGTAACCACGTGTGTGTGTTGGCTAAACGTAACCACGTGTGTGTGTTGGCTAAACGTAACCACGTGTGTGTGTTGGCTAAACGTAACCACGTGTGTGTGTTGGCTAAACGTAACCACGTGTGTGTGTTGGCTAAACGTAACCACGTGTGTGTGTTGGCTAAACGTAACCACGTGTGTGTGTTGGCTAAACGTAACCACGTGTGTGTGTTGGCTAAACGTAACCACGTGTGTGTGTTGGCTAAACGTAACCACGTGTGTGTGTTGGCTAAACGTAACCACGTGTGTGTGTTGGCTAAACGTAACCACGTGTGTGTGTTGGCTAAACGTAACCACGTGTGTGTGTTGGCTAAACGTAACCACGTGTGTGTGTTGGCTAAACGTAACCACGTGTGTGTGTTGGCTAAACGTAACCACGTGTGTGTGTTGGCTAAACGTAACCACGTGTGTGTGTTGGCTAAACGTAACCACGTGTGTGTGTTGGCTAAACGTAACCACGTGTGTGTGTTGGCTAAACGTAACCACGTGTGTGTGTTGGCTAAACGTAACCACGTGTGTGTGTTGGCTAAACGTAACCACGTGTGTGTGTTGGCTAAACGTAACCACGTGTGTGTGTTGGCTAAACGTAACCACGTGTGTGTGTTGGCTAAACGTAACCACGTGTGTGTGTTGGCTAAACGTAACCACGTGTGTGTGTTGGCTAAACGTAACCACGTGTGTGTGTTGGCTAAACGTAACCACGTGTGTGTGTTGGCTAAACGTAACCACGTGTGTGTGTTGGCTAAACGTAACCACGTGTGTGTGTTGGCTAAACGTAACCACGTGTGTGTGTTGGCTAAACGTAACCACGTGTGTGTGTTGGCTAAACGTAACCACGTGTGTGTGTTGGCTAAACGTAACCACGTGTGTGTGTTGGCTAAACGTAACCACGTGTGTGTGTTGGCTAAACGTAACCACGTGTGTGTGTTGGCTAAACGTAACCACGTGTGTGTGTTGGCTAAACGTAACCACGTGTGTGTGTTGGCTAAACGTAACCACGTGTGTGTGTTGGCTAAACGTAACCACGTGTGTGTGTTGGCTAAACGTAACCACGTGTGTGTGTTGGCTAAACGTAACCACGTGTGTGTGTTGGCTAAACGTAACCACGTGTGTGTGTTGGCTAAACGTAACCACGTGTGTGTGTTGGCTAAACGTAACCACGTGTGTGTGTTGGCTAAACGTAACCACGTGTGTGTGTTGGCTAAACGTAACCACGTGTGTGTGTTGGCTAAACGTAACCACGTGTGTGTGTTGGCTAAACGTAACCACGTGTGTGTGTTGGCTAAACGTAACCACGTGTGTGTGTTGGCTAAACGTAACCACGTGTGTGTGTTGGCTAAACGTAACCACGTGTGTGTGTTGGCTAAACGTAACCACGTGTGTGTGTTGGCTAAACGTAACCACGTGTGTGTGTTGGCTAAACGTAACCACGTGTGTGTGTTGGCTAAACGTAACCACGTGTGTGTGTTGGCTAAACGTAACCACGTGTGTGTGTTGGCTAAACGTAACCACGTGTGTGTGTTGGCTAAACGTAACCACGTGTGTGTGTTGGCTAAACGTAACCACGTGTGTGTGTTGGCTAAACGTAACCACGTGTGTGTGTTGGCTAAACGTAACCACGTGTGTGTGTTGGCTAAACGTAACCACGTGTGTGTGTTGGCTAAACGTAACCACGTGTGTGTGTTGGCTAAACGTAACCACGTGTGTGTGTTGGCTAAACGTAACCACGTGTGTGTGTTGGCTAAACGTAACCATGTGTGTGTGTTGGCTAAACGTAACCACGTGTGTGTGTTGGCTAAACGTAACCACGTGTGTGTGTTGGCTAAACGTAATCATGTGTGTGTGTGTTGGCTAAACGTAATCATGTGTGTGTGTGATATCTCAGGATTGTGATGATCAAAAAAAGAAAAAAGAAAAAGGTATCCATTGATTTACAGACGTTTCTTTCACCATGAGGGAAAAGTGTTTCTGGGCCGCAGGGTGTCATGTGATGGTGTAATTCCACATTTTGGCCACTATGAAAACTAACTTCCTGTGTGTGTGTGACTTCTTCCTCTGCTCTGATGTCACATGGTTCGGATGCTTTTCTTCCTCCAACACAAAGTGTGACGCTCAGCAGAGTTTCTGACATCACTCATCCTCACGTCTTCCTCAGTCTCTCCTTCTCTTCTTCTTCTGTTTTCCAGAAGGCGTACAGCATCGACCACGAACCTCCACTGAAGCAGCAGTGTGTGAAAAATGGAAAGCACCCAAATGGCAGAGGTAAGTTTGTCCCTCTCAGGTTACTGTCAAAGAACAGTGGGGCATTCTGGGAGTCTGTTGTAAACAGACGGGTGGTTTTTAGTGAGCCATCGCTGCATTTCCAGCACCATGTGCATCACTGAACAGGGTTGGTGTTTTGCTAATCGTTGCTGTGTTTCCAGTGGCGTCTGTGCCACAGAATGAGGGTGTTTTTAGGTGTTTTCAGCAGTGTTAGTGTCAACAAAGTTGTTTTTTAAGAGTTGTTGCGCAGTTTCTGCAGCGTTTGTGCCACAAGGGTGTTTTTCAGTGAGTCACTGCGACGTTTCCAGCACCGTTCATGTCGATGAATGTTGGTTTTAATCAGAGAGTTGTGGCTGTGTTTTCTGCTGCATGTGTGCTGCTCAGCGTCCGTTGGTGTTTTTATTGTTGAAAGGCAAAAATTCAGTGTTTCCACTATATAAAAATATACAAATGAGGGGTGTCGGTGGCTTAGTGGATAGAGCAGGCGCCCCATGTACAAGGCTGTTGCCACAGCAGCCCAGGTTTGACTCCAGCCTGTGACCCTTTGCTGCATGTCTCTCCCTCTCTCTCCCCCTTTCACACTTCACTGTCCTATCAATTAAAGGCAAAAATGCCTGAAAAATATCTAAAATATATACAAATGAAACATCTCTGGGATTTTCAGAAACGTTCGACACCAACATTTATCCTGACGGCTGGACTTTCTCCTCAGAGGATGAACTCTGTGGTTTTCAGCTTTTCACCATCTTCATTGTTTTTTATTTGAATCCATGAAACCTGCTGGAGCTGCAGGCAGCGTGGGAAAAGGCTGAGAGCAGGTTAGATAGAGGCAGAAGGGTTGCTTCAGGAGGAGGAGGAGGAGGAGGAGGAGGAGGGGAAACACTGGGAGGATCATGTGACTGTTGTTTTACACTCGGCATGACTCAGTTGGGAGGAGAGGAGCGCTGCTGCTCCTACAGAGAGGATGAAGGTCCACACACACTGAAACACAGGAGGATCATCCGGACCGGGATCAGATGGATCAGATGGATCAGAGGAGCTGCAGCAGCCCTCAGCAGTCCACCACAGCCAGGGAGGGGATGGTGAAGTCTGGTAAGACCCAGAGGAGGACGGACTCTGATCCTGGATCCTCCTGAAGCTTTGAGCTGACATGTGATTTTACACTGCTTCATTGGTGACTTGTGAGTGTGAGCTGTGATCGGTTAGTTTCCTAATAACTGGAATATTTGACCTTTCAGTGTTTCACTCTGTTGTGAACTCGTTATTATGTGTTTTATGTAGTTTATTCTGTGTTTTACGTTGGATTGAATCTGTCTGTGTGTGATTGGTGAAAATGTGGAAGAGTCTGCAGGATAAAAACAAAACCAAAAACATCTCCAACATAAATAAGATTATTAATGAAAACTATTTGTTTTTGTTATTGTGGAACTGGAGTTTAAATAATCTTTTGTCATAATTCAGAATAAATTCCTGGGTTAGATGGAGAGTGTTTTATAACTGTGTGAGTTGTTATTTCAGGACCTGAACATGAGGCTTATGCAGATTTGTTGGGTGGACAGTGGTATTTAATAAAAGTACTCAGACTTTTTACTCAAAGTAAAAATATTAATACAAGAATTGTAAAAAAAAAAAAAAAAAAGGCATACTTAAATCAAACTGCAGAATCATTTCTGTATCAAGGTGGAGGTAGTTTTAACTCAAACTGTAGTGTTGGGTGGATTCATCTACAACAATGCATCATATTTTATATAATTACTGTTGGTTTTGTGTGAATGATGTTAACAACCAGTAAATTATTTGTTTAGTGGCATAAAATGGAAATATTTACTACCTGAGTGATAATGACTTTCCACCGTTGGCTGTATGCTTGTATTATCAGGATATTCTGATTTGATGATTTACACTTTATGAATAATTCAAGTCTTGAGTCATGTGTTGGAGAGCAGTGTTTTGCTAAGTGATAATGAAGCACTATGAGGCTGGTGTGAACGAAGGGAGCGTAGGATGATGAAGAGCTGGCAGAGAAACGTGATTTGAGTGGGAGTTTAGATCAACGTACTATGTTGAGATTGTTACATAATAAAAAAAACATTATGATCAGAAGAATTAAAGAAATGTAGAGACATGGAGACAAAATGTTTTAGCCCCGGTTTGGTCTGATGTTCTCTGGTGTTTTTTCTCTGATCAATAGTGTCACAGTTCAGACTCGTCTTTTGCAACATGTCACTCAGTGAGCTGAGTGTTTGTGTCAGACGACAGCAGACTTCAGCCTCTGTGTTTGAACAGTTATCTTTTCTGCTCATGTGATTCATTGACAGATGTTTTTGTGAATCACTGGACTCCACAGATGATTCGTTCACTTGTGTAAACTCTGAAAATCACAGCTGAGGCTCCTCCTGTTCTTCAGTTCCTCACTTTCCCACAGACCTCTGTTTTTCACACCTGTGTGAGACCCTACCCACAGAGCCAGTCCTCAAATATGATTGGTCACTGGTGACCTTTGACATCCTGTGGTGTGATTAGTTGATGAGGTGGGTGTAATACAGGTAGATGTGTAGCTTACTGACACGTCATAAAAAGAAATATTTAAATACAAATGAAAAGCGGAAAGGGATCCAGAGGGTGTGTTCCAACTACAGGGGGATCACACTCCTCAGCCTACCCGGTAAGGTCTACTCCAGGGTGCTGGAGAAGAGGTTCCAATCAATAGTTGAACCTCAGATTGAGGAGGAGCAATGTGGTTTTCGTCCTGGACGCAGAACCATGGACCAGCTCTTTACCCTCACCAGGGTGCTGGAGGGGGCATGGGAGTTTGCCCAACCAGTCCACATGTGTTTTGTGGATTTGGAGAAGGCTTACGACCATCCAGTCCCTGTACTGAAGGAGCACGAGTCTGGTTCGCGTGGCTGGCAGTAAGTCGGACCTGTTCCCGGTGAGGGTTGGACTCCACCAGGGCTGCCCTTTGTCACTGGTTCTGTTCATAACTTTCATGGACAGAATTTCTAGGCGCAGCCGAGTGGTGGAGGGTGTCAGGTTCAGTGACGGGAGGATCTCGTCCCTGCTTTTTGCAGATGACGTGGTCCTCCTAGCTCCATCAAACAGTGACCTCCAGCTCTCGCTGGGACGGTTCGCAGCCTAGTGTGAAGCGGCTGGGATGAGAATCAGCACCTCCAAGTCTGAGGCCATGGTCCTCAGCTGGAAAAGGGTGGATTGCCCACTCCAGGTCAGGGGGGAGGTCCTTCCTCAGGTGGAGGAGTTTAAGTATCTCGGGATCTTGTTCACGAGTGAGGGTAGGATGGAGCGGGAGATTGACAGGTGGATTGGGGCGGCGTCAGCAGTGATGCGGACGCTTAACTGGTCCGTTGTGGTGAAGAGGGAGCTTAGCCAGAAAGCGAAGCTCTCGATTTACCGGTCGATCTACGTTCCAACCCTCACCCGGCTGGCCTGGGAACGCCTCGGGGTTCCCTCGGAAGAGCTGACGGAGGTGGCTGGGGAGAGGACTGTCTGGGCTTCTTTGCTGAGGCTGCTGCCCCCGCGACCCGGACCCAGATATGCGGAGGACGATGAATAACGAAATTTAAAGCACCATCATAGAAAAAAAATCACCTGTAAAGTCAGCAACATGTATTTATATGTATTGATAGAGGCTGCTATGAAATGAGTCCCTTCAGTCTGCAACAATCCCAAAAACAGCTGATGGGGTTTATTCAGCTGAGGAAATGTTGGAACAGACCTACTGTCTGCTGAATGTATCCACCTGTCCTCTGTTACACACTCCTGCAGTCGTCACTGTTGATGTGCTCAGTTTAGTTTGAGGTATTTTCATTTTCTTTGTTGGGAAGGTGGTTTAACATAATTACAAATTATCAAATTATCTGACATAATTATTGGCCCGTCTGTGAGACCTACTACCGTTTTATTAGATGATTATCATACCTCATCATCATCCTCACTGTGACCTCGTCACTTGTCCACGTTTGGTCATGGACTTTCCACGTCCACATATGACGTCCAAGGTACCCTGGGTGTGTTGGTTGTTGACGTTCTGGGACGCCGTGTCAACTTCAGCCTGTTACATGCATTGTCTGTTTTCAAAATACACTTCTGTTTTCACAGGAAATGTACAGTTTGCACACAATCTCTTTCAAAATAAAAGCACTACATTGGCACAACACCACCAACAGATGTTTTTTTCCTTCAGCAACACACACACGTGGTTACGTTTAGGATAAAAAGACAAAGTTTTGCTTTACAGTCTTACAGGAAGTGAGCACCACTCAGTGTTAGCCCTGGTTCGTCAGTGTTTGTTGGACCCATCTACCCTTCCCACCCGCCCCAGTCAGACTTTTGCCTCTTTAACCTTCCTCCTTGTCCTGCCATATTTCCCCACGACACGTCTGGGTGCCATTAGACTATAATGGTGCCCAGATGTGTGTCATGCCGATGCCGCCAGTCACTGCCCAAGTGCTGGGTTTCAACGACTTCAGAGTGACAGTGGGCTCAATATTTAATCAGCAGCTGTATCTGTGGTTGTTTATGAGGTTTTACTCAGATGACATATTGTTGGAGAGCTCCGCTACTCAGCTCCATTAATACTGAACATTTGAAGACACACCCACCACAGCGGGCTCAGTAAACACTTCTGTCAGATAAACAACAAACAAACAGTTCTAACTCACTTGTGAAGCATAATAATAGTTACTAACAGATCATATTATCCAGACTGAGTCACAGCTCCCAGTTCATCTCTGACACACTGACAGACTCATGATTCCCTCCACAGATATCCAGCTGCTGCAGATTTCTACACATTCAATTTCAATTCAATTCAATTTTATTTATAAAGCCCAATATCACAAATCACAATTTGCCTCACATACACATATGATCCGTCATTGTCTTCTTCTGTAACAGGTCTGGTCGGACTTCACTGCAGCTCCTCAGACAACAGGACAGTTTGTAAAGGTCTTTAATGAGCATGAAACAGGCAGGTGAAACAGTGAAACCTTTATCTCCTCGGCTCGACACCTCCCGACACTCAGGTTGAGTCCAGGTGAGGCTGATGGCAGGGAAGTCTCAGGACGCACACAAACAGGAAACAGTTTGACTCTGAGCAGCAGTACGGTGAGGGAGCAGGTAGGAGAGGTCATCAGGTGAGCAGAGGAGTCCAGGAACCAGTGATGGAGCTGAGGGATGTCGGAGGTGCAGACACACTGTGTCACAGGAAGCTGAGCAGGTAAACTCATAAACGTCGTAGAATAGTCAGGGAGAAACTCCACACAGCCGAGGGGGACAGACGGACAGACACCAGGAACACAGAAGCAGAGCTGGTGGTCGAGGACAGACGGCTGAGGAGTTTACCTGGTGAGTCAGAGACAGGTGAGGTCAGTAACGAGGAGTCATCCCATCCTTCATGGGACCAATCTGACACCCAGGGTCTGTGAAGCTGAGCATATGTACCGGCAGGGTGTGATGAGACTCAGGTGAACAGAGCTGGCCTGATGAGGTGGGTGTGGTGGAGCGGCAGGAGATGTGTGGACAGGTGATAGGCTGACAGGTGGGCGTGGTGAGGGGGAATTTACTGGCTGAGCTAAATGAATGAATGAATGGCATGGTGATGTCCTGTGTATGTAAATATGTTACAAAAATGGAGGCCAGCTCCTGACCTTTTGATTGACACCTCACTGAGCCAATAGGAGCTCCCTTCACACGTCCTGGGCTCTGTTTCAGAAAGCAGGCTCAACAAACTCTGATCCTGATCTCTGAGCTGACTGAGCCTGAGCTGAGAAACTCTGAGTCTGTTCAGCCTGAGGGAAGCTGGTTCACAGTGAGCACCAACAGACATCATCAGCAGAGTGCAGATAACGTGATCCTCAGAGACAGGAAGTGGAGTTAAAAGCAGAGCCACTGATTTCATCCAAAACTGAATCAGAGATTTGAAGACATGAAAAATCAATGTGCTCCATCAGCTGATCAGAGTGAGGTGTGATGTGAACAGCCTGCAGAGCGTGTTCATATGTGAAGTGATGTGATGTCATGTGATGAGGTCATGTGTCTAACATACAGAAACATGTTTCTATCTTAACAGTGTT